ATCAGCATTGAAGAAGGGCTGGACCCAAGCTCCGTATAAGTTCATTTCTCCTCCCCAACAGGGACCACTAAGAGGTGCTGAGGAGGAGTACGTGAACGGACAATCATACAAGGTATGCCCAGGATTGCCTCCTAGCCACCTTGGCAACTCAGGGACTTTCTGAGCCTCAAATGATGCCTTGCGTGGTGATGCAGGATAGACACATTTTTGCTCCTCAAGAATGCAAGGCGCACAGGTTGTATCTGACTGTTCCTTACCTTCACTCAGCGTAGATAGCGATGCTGGAGTTGCTAATGGCTCGCTACTGTCTGTGACTGGGGCAAATGTGATCCAGTCCTCTATTTCTGTGACAGAATAACCTGTTGAAGCTTTGAGGAAAAACAACAACGAACAATGAACAGTAATGACCAAACATGAATATGATCCGGGATTAAATTTTTGGTTAAAACAATCTGGATTTGTCATTTTGCTAGAAAAGTGTGAAAATACAGGAAGCTTTGTTTCAGAGAACAAACATGGACTTATCCCTTGTACTTCCACCTAAGTCTCAATCACCGCATAATACCATGATAAATAAAGAATTAAAAATTGGATTTTTAAGCTTCTTAGCTACCGGAGAATGAAGCAATGTGTTCTTAGCCCTCTTTATTAAAACTTTATTGCATACATTTTCCATACAGTATGGCTTTCCCTTGTCTCACTTAGACTGAAAATTGATTTTGCAACTATAACTATGTAAGCTGTACTTAGGATTCCTGGTGTAAATACTGCCTCAGTCTCTTCATTTACTGAAGTGGATGCAAAGGGGTAATACAGGGATGTTGAAGGGACTGTGAAAGAGTTGAGGAAATACATCTTTGGAGAAAAATATCAATCAGTGATAGCAACTGGAGCTGACGATTGCTGATATGATTTTGAGTATGTCCTTGAAGGAAAAGTGAATTGGATTGTAGCTTCTAAAATCTGGTAATTTGAGTCAAAAATTGAAGTAAATAATTACTCAGGTAAGGTGATATTTTGTTAATATTGGCAATAAGGATCTGGGCAGCAGATCTGGGGGCTTAGGCAGCAGGCATTCAAGCGAACTTTCTGCTGATATTCTCCATAGGCAGCTCCATGAAATAACTACAGCATGGTGTGATTTATTCTCTCTGATCGTTAATTCCCTGGTGAGAGAGTCCAACAGGGATGAGTGGGAAAGTATAGAGAACCAGTTTCTGTACTGTGTGAGGTGGTGGCATCTCCATCTTTAAGACTGGGAAAGAATTATCAAATATTATTGAATCTATAAAGTGAAGATGTCCCACTCTGATTTAATCATTGATGCTCTCCACTTGCCACACAAAAGCACTGATATTTGGGCAATTTTGCTGATACCTACTCTATACAAATAGCACAAGCAGTTTAAAGCTCCAAAATGTTCATAATTACATATCTTCCAAACTTTGACAACTCAATATTTTAGAAATGAAGGCTTTAGAAGCCGGATTCTTTCTTCACTGAGATGATTAATTAGAAGCTGACTGACCTTAAACTTTATACAGTTGTTGTAATCCTACCAACATAATCTATTTTAAACAAAGTTAAACACTATTATTATTAGATTTTATGGCATAGTGTCTCTTCTTACCTTCAGCAGCTGTGGAAGGGATTTCTGGAGCTGAGGTATCACCATCTCCTGTAATGGAGGTAGGTGAAATGGATGATTCTGCAGTATTTTCAGAGTCTGTGAGAAGAAGGAAGAAACATAGAAATGAGAGGGAAA